GATGAACAGTCTGAACTGATTCTTGTAATTCCTTGTCTGGGAAAATTTTTGGAGCCAATTGTTGGCCAGTTTCTGTAACAGTTTCTTGGGTGCGTTCTTCAATGGTTGGACCAACCCCTGATGCTCGAGATGGAACTAAAAATTATAATGAATAAAATTATAAGACAATAATTCTACCAATCCATTCACTATGTGGATCTATTAATCCTTGATGCAAAGCATCATCCAAAGACATTTCGTTCTTGCCCTGTCGGAAGCGCTGTGTTCGTGCATCTACAAGACCCATTCGCATTGCCTCAGCCAACGTTACTTTTACCTAGAATTAAGAACAAGAATTTTCCTAGAATTTTCTCCATCCCCACTTGATCTTCAGGTAATGCTCCGCCAGAAACAGTCCCAGGTCGGTGAATTCTTTTTCGAGTTTGGTGACGTTTTTTCACTGCAGTCATCAACAATGGATGCACATCAAATAAAGCAGCCAATCTCATTGCAGCACGCAATGATCCAAAGATTCCATTGCTATAAGCTTCCCGAACAGAAAGTTCACGTTGTGATCGGTCAATTATAACGCCTTTCTTTGCATCTACTAATCCTTTAGCTACAGCTCGAATAAGTGTTACTTCAACGCCATTTTCAGAAAGACCAGAAGGAGAACTTAAAATGTCAGCTAAAGCAGAATCAAGTATTCCTTCCCGAACAGCATCAGATAAAGAATAATTTTGTCGACGATGCTGGTCAACAACACGTTCAGAAGGCAACTAAATAATAAATAATATTTCAAAATAACTTTCAGTATTTACTTGAAGTATTCCTGCTTCAACCGCTTCATTAAAACTCAAGTTTGCATTATTTTCTGTATTTCGGATTCCTTTTACATCGAAAATAGTATGGCGTATTCGTCGAATTAGTAAGCCTTGTCTTTGTGCGTCATATAAATCAAGTTGTCGGCCATGAGCTCCTGCGCTTTCTGTCGAATCCAATTTTATACGACCATCAGGTGTAAGCAATCCACGTTCCAATGCATCAGCAATCGAAATAACTTCTTGATCTTGTTCGGAAACAATATGTCTAACATCTGGATCAAGCCCTAAATTACAATTTGTTTGATTTTGTAAAAGCTGAGAGGGAAAACAAACATCCAGCATTGATGGCCTCGAGAAGAGTAAACGATTGCCTCGGTCAAGGAAAAGTCCATTGCTGTCATAATGACCTTTATCCACAACCTTTTAAAATTAACAAATGATAAAATAAATTTAGAAATATATTTAATAAAAAATTTAGTAATATTCAAATATTTTCATTAAAATTCTCACCTCCGTCAATGTCAACGGTTTCTGAAATTTGAAAATAATTAGAATTATAGTGGATGTAATAAGTTTTATATTTATTTACTTATAAAGAAAATAGCCCATAATTAATTAACTTGCCTGTATCAATCCATAATCATGAGCCTCTTTAAGGCTGAGTTCAATTCTACTTTGTAAATCAGTGAATTTCCCTGTCCTTGGATTTAGAGCATTAGCTAGAACTGCCTCAGCAACGGTTACACGTTGATTGAGTGCTGTGTTAACACATTCACGAGTATTATCTCTAATCAAAGGTCGTTGACGGTCTAATGCTTCTCTGAGTGTAAAACGTTCTCCTGTTTATGAAAAATGTCAAAAATGATTTTGCTATATTTTTTACCAGATTTGTCAATAAATTCTCCAGAATGAGAGTCAATAAAACCATCTTCTATACAATCAGTCAAAGTTAGAGCTAATAAGGGTTGTCCACTTGGGAATTGAATATATCCATTTGCAAGAGCATCACGGAAAGTTACAGCTTCTTGCACAAATTTACCTCGGAATTCGCCCGTCTGAGGATTAAGAACACCTTAAAACATTATTTGAATTAATCATTGGATCAGCTTCTACTCCTCACCATTCTTTAATGCCTGTTCTAATTCCATTGGGGGTAATTTTAAAACGCCCATTTTAATAAGACGATGTTGTACATCTGTTGGGCAAATATGCCGAGAATCAAAAAGCGAAAGAAGTTCGCCAGTTTTAATATCACGTAGTTGGCGAGAGTCTGGGTCGTATAAACCGATTTGAATTGCCTCCATCAAAGTTAATTCTTGACCAGTTTCTGGATGTCTAATTCCATGCCTGCCATTAAGTATTTCTGTTATGTTCTCGCTAATATAACCCATCTCAACCTGAATTTCAATTTCAATTTATTTAATAAAGAAAATATGCAAAGTACCGCTTTGTCTAAAGAAACACGTGATCCACTAACAATATCAAAAAATTCACCACCGCTACTTAGATCAAGAAGACCCTGACGAATTGCCTCAACAAATGTAAGTATTTCGCCTGTTTGTTTGTGAAGTATCCCCTCCATTTCGTAAAATTGGGTTTTTGTTACCGTCTCCTTAAATGTAAAGTTTTATTCAGGGCTCTCATTTATACTTTTTTAAAAGTATTCTACTTTTAAATCGACCTCCATGCTTACGAAATTGAATTTATACTTTTTTGAAAGTATCTACTTTTAAATCAACATTTTGTATTGAAAATGAAATTGGGGAAGGGAATGGGCAAAAAAGTGAATTTTTTTGGCCTACGGCCTTCGAAATTCTCAAAATTTTCGCCTGCGGCGCTGAAAAAGGGAGAAATCTAGCTTTTTGAGTCCAAATTTCAGAAAATTTTCGCCTGCGGCGCTGAAAAAGGGAGAAATTTGGCTTCTTGGACTCCAAATTTAAAAAATTTTCACCTGCGGCGCAAAAAATGGAGGTAAATACTGTCAGAGCTTTACTCCTTGTATCAGCGAATTTTGACATGTCACGCATTGAAATGCGCAAAATGCTCAGTGGAAACAAGAAATTATTAGAAAAGATTAATTTAAGAGGGAAATATGAAAAATTTGAGGACGAATAAATATTTTCTAATTTAATTTTGAGTATACTTTTTATTTGCAAATTTTCTCCCTATATACTTTTTAATCGAGATTTTGATACTTTTGAGTTGCATTTTGTCTATGAGAGCCCTGGTTTTATTCCAAAGAGAAACTTTAAGATTCAGAAATTTTACTTCTTGAAACATTTGTGGTTCGTCTTCATGTTCAGCTAATTTAGGTACTTCAGGTATACGTCTAACTTCTTGAAATTCCTCAACTTGCTGCATTGGAACTTGTTCATGTACTTGGGCAGCCTGTGAAAAAAAAAAGCATTAAAAATCCAAGCTAGAAAAGAAAAATTGGACAAGACCTAGTTTAAAATAAATTATATGGTTTTTTATCAAAATATTTTCAATATCTACAAAAAAATTTTTAAAGTAAATCCAAAAACGTATAATAAAAATCATCCGAAAAATTAAGGCTAGAAACACCAAAGAAGCAAAAATTAAGAAAAACCTAAATTACGTATATAGAAATTCAAAAATTATAAAATCTAAAACTTCAAAAAATACAAAAAATCGAAAAATTAAAAGTTACAAGAAAAAACTTCACTCAAACGGCAAAAAATAAAGCAAACAAAACAGCAATTCTCTTACCTTAATTTGTCCTTCCCACCTCTTCTGCCTATTACGGCGATCTTCTTCATCTTGCGCAGCTTTTTCTGCTGCTTTTCGTCTTCTATTTTCTTCTTCTTCAGCTTCTTTTTCTCGTCTTCTTCTTCGTTCTGCTTCATCTCTTTCTTCTTGTTCAGCAATTAAACGGCGCCTTTCTGCTTCATCGGCAGCTTTTCTTAATCTTTCCAAATCTTCTCTATGCCTTCGATCTTCTTCTTCTTGCCTTCTTCTTCTTTCATCTTCAAGTTTTCGACGCCTTTCTTCATCATCAGCTAATGCTTCACGTTGGCGCCTGAGTCTATTTTCTTCTTCCGCTGCGCGGCGTGCAGCTTCAGCTGCCGCACGTTCACGTCTAAGTCTATCAGCTTCTTCCAATGCTTTTACTCGTGCTGCTTCAAAGGCGCGTCGTTTCGCCTCTTCTTCTAGACGAATGCGTTCTTCTTCTTCCTAGAAAATCAGCGACTCACAAATAAAATTAGATAAAAAACACACTGCATAATACTTATAAAAAAGGTAAAAGCAATTCAAAGGGATTGCCCATGAAAAAATTTTAAATTAAAAGGAACTACTTATAATACAGAATTATTTAAAAAACTAAGAATTAACAGATCATTTTAAATAATTTGTTTAAAAATATTAACTACTACAGGGAGGTGAATTTTCCATGGAACTGGATATTTTTAAAAACTCCAAAATTAGGCTAAAGATTAATCTAGGATCCAGCAAAATCAAACTTTTTCAGATTTATTATTTACCTTAAATTTTGTTGGGCCATGCCGTCCACCAATTTCATAAATAAACATCAATATAGTTGTTATTGTAACACAAGTTTATCCCTTCTTTCATATAAACGCGAAAAAATGGCGCAAGCAATATTGAACAACAATATAATGCGCGATAACTTTCAATAAACTTAGCCAAGTTTTAAAAATTATAATATGCTAAATAAGGATTATAGCAAAAGGCTAGCATATAAAAATTAATATAAATGAAATAAAAATTAAATTAGGAGAAAGTGACTCTCTTTAGGGACTGAATTTGAAATAATTTTGTAATGGAGAAGACGTATTTTTTAAAAATAAAAATACTCTTAATTAATAACATTTAAAACCCTCAAAGCACCATCACCAATATTTAATAAATTATTAAATCATATTTAACAAAAAAACCCCATATGAAATTTAAAAAAACAGAGGAAGCAAAAAAGCGAAATTTAAAAAAATGTTAATAATATTTAATGTTGAGTTGAGGCCGGCAGGCCCAACAAAAACTTTTGAATAAATTTTAGGTTTATTCATTTTTCGCTCTCAAGTTTAAACCTTCCCTTTAATTATTTAATTGAAGTAAAGAGAAGCAGATCAGGTAAATACCAAAATACCTTTTTAACTCTATTTTTAAGACCTCATAATTAACCATTAATAACAACTCAAATAAAAATAATTTGTCAACCTGTTGTTTTCGACGCCAATTTTGAATTAAAACATTAACAATATTCTTTCTTTCCAATATTACAGAGGAAAGTTGAGCAAATCTTCGGTTTAATGCTTCAAGTTCTTCTGTAACTATTTGAGCTCCATTCTTTGGTTGAGGTATTTGACGTCGAAATTCGTCTTTGATACGTTGACCATGGGCACTAATTATGTTATCGTGATATTGTGCTAGTTTTATATCATAACTCTGAAAAATAAATGAAAGAATTAACATATGGAATTAGCTAAAAGGTTAGGATGTGAGAGAGGACTAATAGAAGCCCTGGGCTTATATTTTCCAATGGGTCTCCTCAGATAGGCTTGAATTAGAGGTGGGTTTCTATTAGAGTATCGGTAATTTTTGACAAATTTTTCGGTGATATTTGGAGTTCTGTTAGTATTTGTTTATTATTAACTAATATAAAATTAAATTTAATAATTTTTACCCTAGCATCACGAATGAATTTTCCTCCTTCTTTATTTATTGCCTCAATTGTTGCTGTATGTTCTTGTAATTGAGCATATTCTGCAGTTAATTGATCCAATTGACCTTGCAATTCTTCTGGACGAAGATCTTCTGGTCTACGAAGGCTATTAATTGTTGCCTCAACTCTATCAAGCCATTGAAGTTCTTCATCATATTGTGATCTATAGACCATTTGCGTTTGTTGAGCTTCTTCAGCAATTCGAAGACGATCGGTAACTTGACTGTTTACATTGTCCCAGCGAACGGTTAAATTAGTAACTAATTCTTCCAATTGATCAACATCAGAGTGACTTTAAAAAAAAAGAAATGAGATTTTTAAATTTAAAATTATTTCTCTCACTGTTGAACTCCGAGACGTGTCCTTGCTACATGTGAACGTATTTGAGCAGTATCTTTATTCAAATTTTCAACAATACTTCTTTGTTGTTGCAAAACCATTAATAATTCTACTAATTGTGCATGGACTCCTCTAAGACGCTCCAAAGCTGCAGGCATATCATCAAAAGAAGAAAGTGTTACTTCATGTCGACGAACAATATCAGAAACTTCATCAACACTCTTTAGTACATTTTCTAGTGCTTTAAGTCGTTCAACATACATTCGGCATAAATCCCAAATTTCTTCCCATCTAGAAATCATTAAATCGTGTTTGGCGCGTTGATTAGGTGTTGGACTTGGAAGTTGTCGAAAAAGTTCTTTTACGTTTGAAACATCAACATCCAAAGCCTTAAACGAGAAAAAAAGTATTTTTAATCTTAAATAATAATTACCTGTAAATTATCTTCGAATATTTTATGTTCTCTAATTTGATGTTCTAATTCTTCCAAATTGCTTGGTATACGAATTTGTGCGCGTTCACTCAGTTGTTTAAAAGCATCCTCAAATTTTCTAATAAGCTCAACAGCAGCTGCATCAAATTCATTTGCATAATTTGGCTCAGGTCCTTTCTGGGCACGTCCCAATAAATCATAAAAATGTTCGTTTGTTAATCTTAATTCATCTTTAAGACGTCGAGCAAGTGGATCATTTGGATCTAATTCAGCAAGAAGTTTATTTACATCTTCATTTAATGCTTTAATGATTTCATCTCGTTGGTCGGGAGGAATTGATAGAAAAGTGTCCAAATCCCAACCACGAACAGTTCGCATTGTTGACAAAACCATATTGTAACGTGTCTGAATTAAAAATTTATAATTATGTGAAACGGAAATTTATTTTGATTTAATCATATAGCCTACAGGAAAGTAGAGAGAATGTGTCCCCTTAAGAAAATAATGCCAAGTCTCCTCATTAAGTTATCAAAACTCATGCCCAAAAGATTAATCAACTTTTCTTACCAAATGATGTTTACGATCCCAAAGTTTTCTTAATCTTTCAAATTGTCCATGGAAACGGCTAAGTAAGTTAGAAAGACGTGGATCAGGTGGAGGAATACGGAAAACAACAGAAGGAATGCTAGCTTCAACACCATCCATTCCTCGAATACGCCAATGTAATAAATCGTGATTATCCAAAAGAGTACATTCGTCCCCTAAATTTAAAAATTATTTAATAAAATAATTATTGAATTGCCTTGTCTAACATGGCTTTCTTTACTTTTGTATTCACAAAGAGAAACAACGGGAATTGGTCTTCCAATTCTTTCACCACGTTGCCATAATGGTGAGATTTGTGAACATCGCTCAGAAAGTGAAAGAAGTCGAGCATGTAATTGTTGAATATGTTCACGGATTGAATCAAGTCTAAAATGAGAGATTGATAAAAAGTAGGGCAAACGACAAAAAGTAAGGTCAGGATATACTTGATAAAAACTATGGGACATCCTTATTATTAATCTCTTAATTCTTACTCTCGTAACATCCTTTCGCCCTCGTCCAAAGAAAAATCTGTTCGGTTGTAACTCTGATCCAAATGATTCTACAAAAAATATAATAAGTTAAGATAACATTCAAAACATTTTATTTCACCAATTGTTGTTGCATTTGTTGTTCAATTTGATCTGATTCTTCCAAAAACGATTTGGCATTGTAAGCATCTCTTAAATGACCTTCAAGGCATTTGCTTAGATTTAATAACCAATCCCATTGATTTTGCATTGTGCGAAGATAAACTTCAATAACTTCTCCCGCCGGATGTCGTTGATTAATAAGAGCAGCTCCTTGATTATGTACATCATTAAATTGTTTTTCGTGTAATTCAATTTCATGGAGTAACTTAACAATTAAAAATTATTTTAAATTTAACAAATTTTTGAAGTACTTGTTTAAAATAATTTTGAAGCATGGGAATATCTAATTGTTGTACTGTAGACCAATTACGAGTAACTTCTAATTCTTCTCTTTCATGAATCCAAACAAGTTCAAGTTGTGCTGCACGAATAAAAGCAATGAGAGAATCCTAAAAAAATTAATAAAAATATTCAAAGAAGGAATATATTTAATCTACCAAATCAACCATTCTTCCAGCAGAAAGTTCCCGTAATTGTTGGTATTCTGATTCAAGAATTTTGAGCAATTCAAAATAGTCATAGGAATCTTCAGCAGAGACTTCAGCCTGATAAAATAATTTTTAATTGAATATTTGATAATTATTATTTACCTGTCTGGCAATACATTCATCAACAGTCTGACGGAAATCCTTAAATAAACGAGAGATTACAATCAGTCAAGCATTTCTATATAAAAAATTGCCTGAATGTCTCTATTGTCAAGTTTCTGTTTTTCAAACATTTGTTCAAGCATTTCTAAAGTTTCGCTGAATTGCATTGTATTTAGCTTGTACTATAAATTTTAAAAATTCAATTAAATACTCAAACTAAGTTTCTTTACCGTTCTATCTCTAATCCATTGAATGGCATCCTCAACACGTCGGAATGCATTTCCTTTATAAGCTAAAGACCCTCCATCAGCAGTTGTTGTTGAAGTTACACGTTCAGTCACGAATTGTGTTTTTGGGCGAATTCCAAGTCTAGTCATTATTCCATCTTCTAATCGTCCCAAATATGCAGCTCTACGTTGTTCTAGACCAACAACTCTGTAAATATATATTTTTTAAAAATATTTTAAATTATATTCTCTCACTGCTTATTTAAATCAGCAGTTTGCGAATGTCGTTGTTGACGGAGAATTTCAACATCACTAAAAAGTTCATCAATTGGAGGTTTCAGAAGGTGCAAATCATCAACAATTTCTCGAACTTGACGTTCCAATATTTCAAAACGTTCACCACGTTCTTCAGCTACATTTACATTATCAATACGTACAAGTAAATGATCAAGTTTTTCATTGGTTATGCCAATTCCACGAGTAAGACGTGAAATAACATCATCATAGCCTCCCTAAAAATAAATAAAAAATTTTTAAAAGAACAAAAAATAAGAGATTGGACATGGGAAAATTTAAAAAATTTGTAATAACAAATGCGCATGAATAAATGGATGAAAGTAAAATATAAAATGAGATGATTGTAAAAGCAAAAAAACAAAAAAGATTGCCACAAAGATAAACTTACGCCCAAAGACAACAAAACCTTTGGCTCGTTGATTAATCTATTATGCAACATTGAAACATAAGTAATTAAAGAACGTTCATCTGGTGTTTCAACGTCACAAACGTCCTCTGGATCAAGCAATTTTGCAATACCATATTCACTTTCAAATGTATCAAAAGCGAATTGTAATCGTTCTCGAGCGGATAATTGGAGAACCTTTAAAAAGTGTATATGAATAATATTAGACAAGATAAGCTTGTTTTTCTCCAAAAATGTTAATTTTTAAGTTAATTTTTCTGAAAGAATTAAAATTTGAAAATTTTAACTCATACAGTGCTGTTCATAATTATAAGCGCACTTGAAAAAATTGAATAACTCGGGGCTTAGTTATCCAAATATTATCAAATTTTGATCTAAAATACTAAAACGTATTAGAAATATGTTGACATTAAAAGATTTTGAAATTATCCATTTAAATTCGAAAAATTCAAAATTTTCAATAAACGCGCTAAATTTACCTGTTCAAAATTATAAGCGCACTTTGGATTTTCGTCTTTCTAACATTAGGAAAAATCTACAAAAATTTCACATAACATATTTGTATATAATAGGAAAAAATAAAACAGAACTAGGCCCATATCTCATTTCAATGTCGAGATCTCGATCAGACGTGGGCGAAACGTTTCGTTTCGTTTCGTTGTTTCGTTAGTTTCGTTATGTTTTTTCCTGTTTCGTCTCGTTTCGTGACGAAACACTTTTTAATTTGTTTCGTTTCGTTTTGTTAACGAAACACCTGTGTTTCGTTGACGAAACATTACCTATTTTTTAAGCCAAAATATTACCCAAGACTAAAAAAATTTCCCCTTTGGCCTTCAAAATACTCAAAATTTTCGCCTGCGGCGCTAAAAAAGGAAGAAATCTGGCTTCTTGGCCTTCAAAATTCTCAATATTTTCGCCTGCGGAGATCAGAAAGGACCCCCCTTGTAAAACTAAACACTGATGACCTATTGACCCTGAAGTCTTACAAACGTTTGATCAACACAATTTTTTGCTTTTATCTCTTTACAAGTTTAATCAGTCTATCTGTGGGATTAACAGAGCTAATGAGGGGGTACAGAGTTGACCCCCTTATTAATATCTTTAGAGCCCGTACTGGAAGTATCCGCAGATTAATCTTTTTGCATATTTTGAAGGGAAGGACCTTGGCTTAATAATCCAAAAGTTTTGTCGTCAATTACTCATTCGGTAATGCGACAATTTCGACCAATCCCGATCACGTGTCGGGATCGGTATCACCATTCCAAAATCCAGATCCCGGTTTTTCTATAAATCCCGATACCGCTAAACTCTAGATTTAGGTGAGATTAAGAGAAAAATTGGCTAATGGGACCACAATTTATGGTCCACATAATTTTATGATCACTTATATGTCATTATTGGCCAATTAACATGCTTAAAATTTTGTAGTTAATAAAATAATCCAGATTTTTGAGATTTTTTTCGAAATTAAAATGTTTCGTTTTGTTTCGTTTCGTTAAATTTTGACTGTTTCGTTTCGTTTTGTTAACGAAACGATTTTTAAAAATTTTTGTTTCGTTTCGTTTCGTCCGAAAAAAATTTGGAGTTTCGCCCAGGTCTGATCTCGATACCCTGAAAATAGGGGTAAAATAGGGGTAAGACTCTTTTAAAAATATTTTCGACCCCATATGGATTATTTTGAATTTCCTATTCAGGCTTATTTGATAGCCCTTGAAATTTGCTATAAGATAGCCTTAAATCTTATTTACCAGAAAAAATTCATTTGAGAGATATATTACATTAATCTTCCGAAGCGACCGTAAAGGGCATTTTATGGGGCATTTAGGTGTTTTCTGGAGACATAAAAATTTAACTCTTAATAACCAATCGAAAAATTTTTTCTGCTAAATAAGATTAAGGCTATCTTGTAGCAAATTTCAAGGGCTATCAAATAAGCCTAAATAGGAATTTCAAAATAATCCATAAGGGGTCGAAAATATTTTTTAAAGAGTCTTACCCCTATTTTACCCCTATTTTCAGGGTATCGAGATCTCGACATTGAAATGAGATATGGGCCTAGTTCTGTTTTATTTTTTCCTATTATATACAAATATGTTATGTGAAATTTTTGTAGATTTTTCCTAATGTTAGAAAGACGAAAATCCAAAGTGCGCTTATAATTTTGAACAGGTAAATTTAGCGCGTTTATTGAAAATTTTGAATTTTTCGAATTTAAATGGATAATTTCAAAATCTTTTAATGTCAACATATTTCTAATATGTACGTTTTAGTATTTTAGATCAAAATTTGATAATATTTGGATAACTAAGCCCCGAGTTATTCAATTTTTTCAAGTGCGCTTATAATTATGAACAGCACTGTATAAAATATTTTTTGTAAATTCCAAAAAATACCTTTTCCCAGTTGACCAACTCCGGACGATAATAATGCAAAATAGCATCAAAAGCAAAACCATTCCTCCAATTGCTTGAAAAATTCTGTACATCCACTTCAGGATGATAAGTGGAAATTACACGTCGAGCCCAAGCCAAAAGTGCATCTCGTGCTGATGTTGTTGTACGTGCTTCTGATGAGAAAGATGGTTCTGGTGAAGATGTTTCTCGTTCTTGATGTAAAGCAGAAGAATCAGCAATCTATTTACATAATATTTTTAAAAATATTAAATTAGTTTTATTTTAGAAAAGAGATTGGAAATTCAGAATTCAAAAAATCAAGAGAACAAAATATTACTGTTTATCCTCTCGTTACTCAAAAATCCGATCTCTTATCCTTTAATATATTTTCACATAGAGATAAATAGAGATAAAGAATAAAGAATATTAATAAAGATCAAAACAATTAATAACATAAAAAAATTAGCTGCGCATTTGCTATTTACACAAAAATGACATCAAAATTAGTCCCCAGAAAAATAATAATTTCATTTATTTACACGTTCAATAGCAAGTCCACTTCCACTGCCCCATTGATCAAGGCGTGCTCGAGAACCAAGTGTACCTGCAGCCGCCTTCTGTCCTCCTTTCTGAACTTTTCTCTCAAAATGTTCTTTAGTCTCCCAACTCGAATTTTCAGAAAACCCATGTGCCCCCGTTGCTGCATCATAAAAATTTCGACGTTCAGTTACAGCCCCTCGAGGCAAAGATCCATTTTCAGCTCCAAAACGACCACTATAACCATTTCGGTAATCACCGCCACGACTTCGACTTCTCTCGTGAAATTCTTCAGTTCGGCGTAATTGTTGTTGAGAGCCTATTATTGTAAAAATACTCAATAAAGCTCTTTAATGCTTTAAATGCTCCCTTATTCCTTACCCGAATGATGTATACCACCATTAGTTTTATGTTGTTCCCGACTTGCAGAATAATATCCATTAGTGGCTGCTGGTGGGGATAATCCTCTACCACCGGCACCATTCAAATGTGATCCCTCTGACCGCGAACGACTGTAATGTTCATTGGCTTCTCCTGCACCAGAACCGTGCTGTTCGTGTTTATGTTTTTTCGTGTATTTTTGAAGAACTTTATACATACTGCAGAATTTTTATAATAATGGAATTTCAATTAATTTTGATGCGCGAGTTGTAGTTTATGTATGTATGCTAATAGAATTAAATTGGATTTTTAAAAAAAGCTAAAAATGAATCACTCAAGATAATGTCGTTGTGGGGAAGGGGTATGAATGAAAAGGATAAAACTTTAGAACGGAACTTTTTTGATGCGCGAATTGAAGTCTTTTGTTATCTCAAAAAACTATAAGATAACAAAAAACAATTTACATAACACTTTTTTATAATCAAGGCAGAAAAAAATTATTTTAAAACTAATAAATTCCTCAACTTACTTAAAGTTGTGAAAAAAACAATAAAAATAATAAAAAAAATTCTTCGTAAATTTACTCGTCTCTGGGCAAAAATACCGGCTATTTAAAAATAATATGGGTGGTATGAAAAATGCAGTAAAGTAAAACGCCTAACGCACACAATCAAAACAAAATTGTTATTTGATTGCAGAAAGAGAAGTTTTGATGGGTCAATTTTGGGGGAAAGTAGGCGGTTGATGCGTAAGACAAATTTGGGGTGGCGGATGGAATTCGTGTCCGGAAATTTGGGGAGTGGACACTTGGGGAGTGGATAAATGGGGAGTGGATAAATGGGGAGTGAGCGGACAATTGGGGAGTGGACATTTGGGGAGTAGCCTAACGATAAAAATACAATAAAATATTAAATAGTTTTTATTGCTTTTGTATTTAAAAAAATAAATTAGGAATCTCTCGAATGAGCTATTATATGTTTTTTCGAATTTTTGACTCTAAAATCCCACCATTGGTATTTGACCATTTCGAGCCCTATATCTCGACTCAAACTTGGTTAATCAAGCTAATTTTAGTGTCATTCGACTCAGATCGAAAGCTCTTTCGAATGAGCTATTACTTGCATATTCGAATTTTTTACTCCAAAATCGAGCTTACCCCCTCCCACTATTGTTTTTCAATTTACCTAGAACTCGGTTCAGAATCATTTCCTGAAATAGGGAGTTGGATTTTTTTCCGAAATTGGAGTTTGAGTTTTTTTTTCGAAAATTGGAGTTCGACTCAGCTCGCCGAGACGAATCGAATGACATATTCCCAAACTTTTATCTCCGGTGAACTTATACGTAACCATTTTTTAAATACAAAAGCAAGAAAAACTATTTAATATTCCTTGTATTTTTATCGTTATGCTACTTCCCAAATGTCCACTCCCCAATTGTCCGCTCACTCCCCATTTATCTACTCCCCTAATGTCCACTCCCCAAGTGTCCACTCCCCAAATCTCCGGGAGCCATGGAATTGGAGGGGGGGGGGGGAAGGGGGGGGTGGGTGGTTGGTTAGTTCTTTCCATGACCGGCAGCTGGTTAAAATAAATATATACGCGCGGTTGAGCGATTACCTTTAATAGAAAATAAGTATAAATGTAACGAGAACTAATATGTATAAATACTACTAGAGAAGGGATAGAATCATTGGTATTTTAAAAAAAACCTTTATAAATTTTTAAAATTTTAAAAATTTTGGAATGAGGGGGAAATTTATAAAATTAAATTGAAAGTGAAAGAAAAAATCTTTAAACCAAAAAAACAAATAGAATAAAAATGTCATATTAAATTAATAAAAATCTTGATAGAAAAGAGGAAATGATTCATAAAAATAAACTGGTATTAATAAAGGCGGTTAAGATAACAATATTTCAATTAAATATTGTTCAGACAAACAATAGAGAAGGATTTTTGTAATTTATGTATATACATATATGTAAAATTTCGTATGTAAAATAAAAGTTTAAATTGGAAAAAAATGGATTAGCATCATTATGAACATTAAGATTAGGATAATAATTATTATTATCATTAGATCATCTATAATCAATAGGATCAGGAAATGGAGAATATTGGTTCGATTATCAAAATATTAACAATACTCGACAAAGATTAGGGCTGATAGAAATTCAGAATGACTGTTATTTATTATCCCAGGTATCAGATAAATTTAGCAAATATTTGTAGAAATAAAATTTTAAACTAATAAAATTTTATTGCCAACTTTTTGCCTTTTAAAGATTGACTAATTTGCGTGGAATTTTTGAAAGATATTTTTAATAGTTGTAATAAATTGTATGTATAGGAATTTCAGTCAGTTCATTATTTCTTAAATTGGCCGTTTATTTTTTTCAAATAATGAAATGTGCGTTACAAATTCTTCCAAAATTTATTTTCAAATAAAAAAAACAAAATTACGCCGCAAAATAGCGGCAACAAACAAAAATATTTTTAATTTGTGTGTTTATATTTAATGAAGGAAATTCCTCGCAATTATTTATAGATGGATGATTTGGTGGTAAAAGACGTAAATTTTCGCTTTCAATAAGTTAAAAATAATTGATTATTTTGTTATTTTTTTATAAATATTTATGGTTCCTGGGGGAGGGATTACAACAATGCACTTAAATATTAAGTGGGTTTTTGTAAAGTTTGGAATTTTAAAGGAATTTTAATTGAAAATAATGAGTAAGAAAAGAAAGTTTAAAAAATTTTAAGTATTGCGATAAATAAGGAACCTAACTTTAAAATTCCTTTTTTAAAATTAGTAAACAATTCAAGAATCTCGTAATCATCTCATGTACATAAAAGAAATAAAACATAAAAATATTAAAAAGACAATAATTCGGGTGCACTAGAATCAACTAACAATAAGCCGTTTAATTAGACGGCTTAATTGATCACGGAGAAGTAAAATAGAGGTAAATATTATTTTAAGTATTCAAAGGTAAAAATCTGTGATTTTTCTTTAGTCATTTTTATAAAAGAATCCAAAAATTTAAATATAGCCTTATAAAATTTTATCACTTGGGAGAGAGCCAAAAGTAAATATTGTAATTTAAGTCAAAAATGTTTTCCCTTTAAAAAAAATTTAATAAATATTTTCAATTAAAAATAAAAAATTTTTTTTGCCTGCATTTTGTTAAAAGAGGCATAGAAAATTGTAAAAACTAAAAAAAGACAGAGGAATGTATGTAGAATGGCCTGTTGATCAATCGCGCAAAGTTAAATGTGTTGTGCTAGTCGTTTTCGCGCACACCTTCAGGGACGTGTCCTTCAATTTTTGCCTTTCCATTCTTCTCACCACCAAAGTCGCTATGGGCCGCCATTAATTTATTTATTTATATAAGAATGGTTTTTAGTGGAAGGATAGGTCGGAAGATGTTTTGGGAAGAAGAAAATATTGGAAGTTGCAAATATTTAAAAAAGACAAAAATAAAAACATTCAGACAAAAAAAATGAAAAAAAATTAATTTTTGGATAGAAAATAGTTAAACTGGTTCTTAAGTTATATATTAATAATTAAGATTAAAAAAATTAATTTTGAATAAAAAGACAAATAAATAAAATAAAAAAATATAAATTTCCAAAGTTATAGAACTCCTAAAATTCTGGATCTAATTACTGATTGAAGTCAAAGGTAAGTAAGGATAGTAACAAAGCTCTTGGGGTATTTCCTAAGAAAACTATAACAGATTAAGCTTTTCTCAAAATTTGAGTATCGGTTTCTGATCTAAAAACTTGAATTATTTTTTCAGTAATTCTGGAAAATAGAAAAAAATTTTAAAATTAAAAAATAAATTTGTAATTTTATTTTAATCAAAAATAGTTTTTCGTCCTTCCTTCCTTTAATATACATAGAAATACAACTAAAAATATACCAACAAGCTTTGCATTGAGGAAGGTGAATAAAAAATAAAAATACGGGGGTGGGAGATCGATCAAATGGATAGCCCAAACATGGGTGAATGTGTGTTTATTTTGCTATAAAATAAATGAAAATGAAAGAAAAGATTTGAAAGAAAAACACAAAAATTAAATGTTTGGAGTGAAAAATGTTTGTTTAAAATATTTTTTGATTAAATTTTAAATTTTGTAAATTGTATATATTTAATTTTAAGAGATTTGTAGGGTTTTTAATACTATTAATTTAATTTAAAAAAATTGTACAAATGTTAAAAAATAAATAAAAGAAAAATAAAAGGTTGAAATGATGATTTAACCAAAGTTAAAATTAATTAGAAATATTTTCTAAAACTATTATTTGTTTAAAAAACATTTTTGGTATTTTTTAATTAAAATTTAGAAATAAAAAAGAAATAATGCGCAGCTATTAAACAAAATAATATTTGGATTTAAAAATAATTAAGAATAAATAGAATAAATTTACTGAAGAAAAGTGATTAAATATGAGAGATTTATTTTTATTTTAAAAATATTATTTTAAATTAAATAACCTACCAATCTAGAAGTTGTTTGACTGTAATGAACACCTTCATCTTGTTGTGAATTAATAATTTTATTATTTGGAGAGGTTGTAGCTGATATATGAACAGTAATATCTTGTCGACGTTGTGCCTTTTGTTGATAATTAATTACTGCAGAAACTTGGAAGTTTAGAATTATTGTCTGGAAAATTAATTGATAAAAATTAAAATTAATTTTTATTTATAATAGCTTATTGAAGGGGGTTCGAAATTAAATCGAAAACCCTTAAAATTTCCCCAAACCGACCCTTTTTATTTGATCGAAATAATTTTTTAAAAATAGTTTAATTGTGTTAAAACATCCCCAAAAATATATATTACCCAAATAAGTCCAAGTGTTAACTTTCCATTTCCATCAACAATATCCTCAGGCCTAATATTAACCAATCTTATCTGAAATAGAGTAGAATAAATAAAAATATTCTAAATAATTTATAGGCACATTTCGACGTCTCAAAAATTCCAAGCAAGACTGGACATTTTGAATTCGATGAAAGCGAGTCCTTCCATTTTCTCTTGACTGAAAAATATTTTTTTAATTTTTGCTAAAAATTAATTTCTACCAAATTTTCGGCAGATAATAATTCAAGTAAATCAATTAAATTCCTTCCATCCCTCAAATCAAAGAATAAATCTTCAACCACTTTATTTGTCTAAAAATAGAAATAGATATTTTAAATATTCTCTAAATATAAGTATTACTTTTGATAAATGTTGATTTACCCATTTTGTAAAAGTTTTCTTTTGTATGGCATCTCGTTCATCTGTTTGGGGATTAATTTAAAATAAAATTTAAAAATTAATTTTATGTTTAAAAATGGCGGAAATGAAATTTTAAAAAATTTTCTTGAACTTTAAAGTAGGAGAGACTTTCTCCCCAAACCTTAACCTTTAAGGGATACGGAAGATCGAAGGAGTTTGGAGTTACTGTATTTACTGAAATAATTACCCGGGGTAATTATTGTTTCGATCTCTCGCTGTAGTGGGTAATTAATAGGGAGTGGGTAATTATTTGAGTAAATACGGTAAGTAACGACTAAAATTCCTTTTGAGCGTGAAGGGGAAAATACCAAAAAACCCCCCAAAAACACCTTTATATCTTTCCAAATTAATTTCATAATGTTCTAAGCATTCGCTTTCAATAGCTTCTGCATATGTCGAATGTAAAACATTTTTTTGCATTTGATGATTAGAAGAAGATTCTACAGTATTCTTATTATAGTTATCATCAGAAGAAGGTGTGGATTTGAAAGAATTTGTTTTAATAGAAGAAGAGATGTCACAAATTGGAATCACCGGAGATTTATTATTTATCTAATTATAAGTATGTAGGCTTGTTAAGAATTTGGAGTTTTATTTAAGGATTATAATTGGACAAGTAAATATTTTTTATAAAAAAAAAGTTGGATCCAAAATCAGGCTTGTTTTTCCCCATAAATAAGAATTTGATATTTAAATTAAATATCGATAATTAAAAAAATTTTCTTAAGGTAAAATTTATATTTATTCAGTTAATATTTCCCAGTCAGATGACTTCAAAAACATGTTTTACTTATAATATTACAATTAAAGAAATTAAATGTAACCAATTCTTAACGATTGCCATTTGTTATTTTTAGATAATTTATTTAAAAAAAAGGGAAAAAAAATTCTGATATAAACAACTACCGAGGAGCTTTCATTATTTAATGTCGGGGGTGAAAAACAGTAATGGAATGTTGATGATCGTGAAACATTTGAAAAGCCGACCGGACTAGTTTGCAGCTGTTTAGTAGAATTATCGCTTTTTAAATGATGAAAATTTGGAATCGACATAAATGGAAGGAAAACATAAATAAGAGAAAATTTAAAAAAAAGCCGACAAATCTAATAAAAATGTAAAAATTTTTTGATTAGAAAATGTTGTAAAAATATACAGAGGAAAAGGAGAGAGAGAAAATAAAATTGCCAGCTCTATACTTATTTGAATACTTTTTTGCAACAGTTATAAAATGCTCAAATCGATGGTTAATATTTTGTATTTAAATATGTAAAGAGGTGTAATATGTCAATTGAAATGCTCCTCTACGGGTGTATCTTCTTTAAATTCTCTCTCAAAACTCTTTTCGATTGCGAAAGTAGATTAGTAAAAAATATATTAAATGTAGGTGTTTTGGTATATAATTTAATTTAAAAGAAATTAAATTCGAGAGAGATGTGCGCAGAATTGGAGGAAAATAAAGAAAAATGGGGGTAATTTGAAGGAAAAATTAAAAATTTAAGCAAGTTCTAAATACATATTTAAATTAGTAAATGATTGAGAAAAATTAATGATTTTTGAGGTTGATATTAATTGAAAAAAATTTTTAAAATTAATTTTAAAAATAAGAAAGGAAAACATAGGAAACATAATTTTATGTCCAATAATTTTGGCTATTAAATCAATAATTTAATCAAAATAAGAATGTGAGTCATTGTTTATTTTTAGTTATTTTTGTTTATCGAGAAAAATAGTGAATTTTTTTCTATTTTTTAATTTGTTCTTATGTGAAAATAAAGTTAAGAAAATTTTAAAAATTAAAAGTAGTTTAGAATAAGTAAAACTTTCGGAAAATGAGTCAAATTTTTAGACTAAAATCAGAAAAGGAAATTTTAATATTTTCTGATAAAAAATACAAGTAAATATAGTTCCGGTTATTAAATAGAAATTATTTCTTTCTGTTCATATTTTACTTAGATATTAAAAAAAATTTTCTACTATATGTATATTGGAGGATGAAAAGCTTAAATGTTTGTGTTTTTAATAAAAAAGAGAAAGTAATTATCAAAAATGTAGTAAAATAAAAATGAGAAACGAGAGAGTGACAAAAAATTGCAAGAGTGCAGATTTAGCAGGGATTTATAAAAAAAAGTAATGGATAAGTAAGAAAAATTATTAGCTAAATATTTTTTTTAGATTTTTATGTTATTTATAAATTATTGTAAAAAATGATTAAATTATAATAAAAAAATTAAAAAAAAGAAAGAAAATTACTTAAGGAAAAGATATGAAATTAAAGATGTAATACGAATTAAGAAATTAAGGATAAAAACATCTTAAAATATTTTAAAAAATTTCCCTAAAAATATACGAAATTAAAGAATTAAAGAGGACAAGAAAAATTTTTTTATTAAAAAAATATCAATACATATAAACACAGATCGAAAACCAAATGACCGCAGTAGGAAATAAACGCTCGCTTGGCTGTGTGCTCCCCCTTAAAATTTACCTCGTTTGCTTTTTTATTAATTTTTGCATTACATATCGATATTTATTTATTTTTTCTACTCTTATACAGTTCTTTACCCCCCCTTCAGCACACCTTCACGGTAATTTTATTTTAACAAAATTTCATTAGCCAGAAAATTTTCTGCATAATAAATATTTTAGGAATGAAATAAAATTTGAAATTTTTAAATAAAAATTAAATTTAAGTAAATGTAAATTGTCGTTTGGTGGTTGGATTTAACACTCTTCTCCTAATTTTTTGTTTCTCTCGTTACCTACTTAAAAATTGAAAAAAAGGTGTGTGCAATGTGGAAATTTTTTGTTTGACAACACCTGCAGTATTTGTTCTTTTGTACTTTTCTACATAAATATTGACCCAAACAATGTTTTTCTTTAAAAACCCCAAAAGATCAAATTTTATAAAGAAGTAAAGCTCTCCTACTTTAAAAATGATAACTTTTGTGTTCTAAAATAAAACCAAATCCGCCATTTAATAGAAATTTCCCCTAACCTGTTATTTTGAGTCGAATTCTTTCGTGTTTTTCATATTTTCTAATCGAAATAGGCTGTGTTTGCATCCACTTCTAAAATTTTGATAAAAAAGGAGAAAATTTATTTTTATTTCATACTTATTAGTAAATTCTTAGTTCTTCAAACTAATCTATATAAGCTTCTTTTGGCCGAGAGTTAAATCTATTTGGGATATTAAACATAATTTCTGACTTGTACCATTTAATAGCAAATAAATTAGAATACACGTAACCGTGGCTGGTTTGTGGATTTCAGTTTTTAAGTTAGTGTTAGTTTTTATGGGAAAAATTCATGGTCACGATTAAAATATCTCAGATAAATTTTTTAAATCTAATTTAATAACAGGAGTAAATATTATTATTTTTTCGATTAATTCCCCTGAGGAATTATTTTTTCAACCCTTCCTTGGCATGGTGAATTAATCGGGAGAGGGGAATTATTCGAGTTTTGACATTTGAATGTGCAGTAGGTTATCTGGGGGTGGGGAATTATTGTTCCAACCCAACTCTAGCATTGGGAATTAATCGAGAGGTGGAATTAATCGAGGTAGGGGAATTAATCGAGAAAATACGGGACATATAAATAAATTAAACCTTCCTATATCTAATTAAAATATAAATTCCCACCTCTAATGCCAAATTCCGTTCTTCTTTACTTTTATCATTATAATTTTGGTGTTTTTGTTGTTGACTATTATTACTAGAATATTCAGAATTTTCTTTCTGTTGTTGACATTCTTTACTTGCAGTTATAGGGGAAATTAATGTTGTTGTAGATGTTGTGATAATTTTAGTTAAACTAATGCTATTTTTAATTGTTTTTGTATTTAATAAATATTTATTTTTATTTTCTTCAAAATTATTTAAATATTTTTCTGTTATGTTAATTGGTACTTGACGAATAATTTGTTGAGAATTTGTAGAAATTCGAGGGGTTGCTCCAAGTGAATGATCACGACGGGAATGTCTTGTTGTGTTTGTGACATTTATTTCTTCTGTGTCGATTAGACTAGAAGAGAAAAGAAAGAAATTTATTTTTTATTAATCATATAATTTTTGGAAAGTTTTTTTTGTACTAGAAAAATAATAAATTAAAAAATTGTCTTCTTAAATTTTATTTTTCTTTTATTTTAAAACTCCCATAAGCTATAAAATGCTAATTAAGACTAATAAAATCTCAATATGCATAATTTTAAGAAAATTTGGAAAAATATTGTAAGGATGATTCACCTAGCAGCATTTAAAACGCTTAGGCGGGGGATAAACGATCTAAAAAGGAAAAAGAGAAAGCATTAGTCGATGCCCCGGTAGCTCAACGGTAGAGCTCCTGCATATAGTGAGCGAAAGCCTAGCAACAACTAGCAGGTGGTCGCAGGTTCGAATCCTGCCCGGTGGCTAAACTTTTGCAAACTCTTTCTGGTGCCGCTAACAGGGATCCTCACTTGCTGCTGGGTGAACCAGCCGATCCACGGTCATGGCGCTTGACCGAGGGACCGGTCTGATGTAGGGATGGAGATGTAAGGATGATTCACCTAGCAGCATTTAAAACGCTTAGGCGGGGGATAAACGATCTAAAAAGGAAAAAGAGAAAGAATTAGTCGATGCCCCGGTAGCTCAACGGTAGAGCTCCTGCATATAGTGAGCGAAAGCCTAGCAACAACTAGCAGGTGGTCGCAGGTTCGAATCCTGCCCGGTGGCTAAACTTTTGCAAACTCTTTCTATATGAGTGGGTAACAAGAGTTCAGCTTTCCAAGTATTTCCAAATAACTCGAAAGTTTGTTGAATTTAATGTTTTAAATTAAGAAATAGGACTTGATTTTGTTATTAAACGGGGTACCAAATAGAGATAAATAACGTTAAATATGCCACGAAAAGGACAGAGGTATTTATGATAAACTCCTTCATTTATTTTATTTTCCTGAACAATTTTTATTCTCCTACCGAGAAATATTTTGTTGACTTTTAGATGTGCAACGAGTTTTTGAGGGTAATCTTGCTTTTTGTGTTTGTGCCTCACTTTTGCTTGTTTTGTATAATTTATTTGGAACAAATGGACTAAAAATAATATTTTAGTTTTTAAATTTGTTTTATAAAATTTGCCTTGCTCCTCTACTACTAAGAAAAATTCTTTGATGAAGAAGGGAAGAAAACGAAGAATTAAGCCCTCCTCTATTAATTTTTGTTGAATTCATTTCTGAGGATCTTTAAATAATTAATTTATAATTTTTGATAATTAAAAGGAAAATAAACTTTTCTTTTCTTGAATTTCCATTTATAAATAATTCTGGAGTTTTTCTTTGCTGTTTTTGATTATCTACAAAACGTGTGGATAATCTACTTTGATGTAAAGTATCACAAGATGCTGACTAAAAGAAATACGAATACATATATTTATTAATTTAATTAAATTATGACCCTTTTTGTTTTTTTATCCCCAGATACTATTCCAACATAATTTTCCTCGTTCTCTCGTTTTGCTTCCTTTTTTGGTTTTCGGCCTGATCTCCTAAATAAATTTGTCAGTGGATTGTTTAACCATATGGAAGTCTGTGGTTGTTGTTGTTGTTTACTGGCCATTTTTATGAAATTTTAGTAAAAAAATTGGGAAAGAGAATTAGAGGTTTAAATTACATCTAAAAATTTTTTACAAAAATATTTGTAAATTAATTATTTTCCTATGGAGGCAGGGAAGAAATTTTTAGGGAAAAGTAGTGATCCATAATCAGTTCTCCTTTCTAGAATGATCCACTCACAGGTATTTAATTGTGATTAGGATTATTTTTGGATAAACTAAGGTTGGAGATTGACTAAAGAAGTTGCTGAATAAAGATCAAGATTACAAAATATCAAGATATGCATCAGAGCGGTGTAAAACTCTTCATATCGATAAAACATTAAATTGTTTTTTATCCAAAAATATATACTTTGTGAGGTCTTGACTTTAAAAAATGAAGGAAAAGGTCAGTGAATCACAAGTAGATTATTGCTAGCTTTTGTCCAGTCGATCGAGGCAAAAATAGAGATAGAAAAATAGATAGAGGATATAGGGATAGAGTGTTTTTTTTATTTTTTAGCTAGCTAATGGCGCAGCAATGAGTGAGGAAAAACAAAAGTTGAGGCAAAAAGATTTATTAAATAAATTTTTAAGTAAAAATACTTTTGAAAATTTCATAAAAGAAGTAAACTTTTGATTTCTGATAAAATTAATTTTAAAAATTAATTTAAAAGTTTTATTTTCATAAATTCTTATAGCTAATAAGGGTTTGAATAGGGAAAAGCATTGATTTATTGACCCAGCCAACACTTAATAATATTGATTTAAAGCATTGAGTATAATAAAAGAATCAATTACACAAACTCAGACAATTTTAAAATTATTTTTTATTTTAATTTGTTGAGATAATAAGAGTGTTTAAAACCCTTTAATGAGTGTTTGAAATAAATTTTACTTTAATTACTCATTAATAAATATACCGTATTTGCTAAAATAATTACCCAGGGTAATTATTTTTTCAACCTCTCGCTGGAGGGGGTAATTAAAAGGGAGAGGGTAATTATTTGAGAGAGGGACATTATTTTTTCGACCTATAAAATTTTTATTTAATCATAAGCATATGAACAGGGATATACAATATGTTACCGAATTTGCAGATAAATATTAAATTTTCAAGATAGGTATTCTATATTCCCTTAATATTTTCATAAATAATGTACCCCAAGATGGTACAATAACAACAATGCTTCCTTCCTGGGATATATAAAGACACTGTGACATGTATACAAGTATGTATGATTCCTATTTAGAGAATATATCCTACATTCTCTAAAGATACTTATAATCTTCGGATAAAAAGCTTAAAAATTAGAAGGGTAATCTAGATAGAGTTCAGGAATTTTTTGGAGATGTAAGGTTGATATTAAAGGAGATATAATGGGACTTGGAGGGATTAATATGTATTTCAACGGTATCAACTAATTAATTGGATTTATTCGGGCAGTCAGGGATATAAGGATTCGTAGGAATACAGGAGCATTAAAGTGTATAATCTTAGATCCAATAGATCCATTCTAATAAAAAATCTCACCCAAATCCTTGTAATCTCTTAATTCTCGTAAATTCCACTATATTCTCTCCAAATACTTTTATTCTCTTGATTTATTTTTTATATTGATCCTTAAAATGGTCATTATTAAAATAATAATGGTTTTTAATAAATATTTTCAAAATTAGCTCAGGAAAAATTGGGGGTAATTATTTGAGAGAGGGTAATTATTTTTTCAACCTCTCGCTGGAGGGGGTAATTAATAGGGTAATTATTTGAGAGAGGGACATTATTTCAGCAAATACGCTAATCTGTTTCTGTTTTAGTTATCGTATTAGTAAATTAATTCTTTAAATTTAAAATGTTATCATTATTATTCTAAAATACAAAAAAATCTATTTATTTTCCAATTTATCGTATTTTCTCTAAAATAGCCCTCGGGGGCTATTTTTTATATCGACCTCTAGAGGGGGGCTATTTTGGAGAGGGGGCTATTTTAGTGAAAATACGGTAATTAATAATATATACAAAAATAAAAATTTATTTTATTTTAAGTCCATAAGTGTTTCTTTAAATTGTAGCATAAAAATACTGTTTATAAATTATATATGGCAATGATTTTAATATAATGTGAGATATTTGGAATTTAAACAGAATTTTGGTCATCGGTAATATCAAAGAAAGTTTGAGCTAAAATTTAAGAGAAAATTATTTTTAAATTAACAAATTATCTAACCATAATTAATACAAGGCAAAGCTTCGAGATAAGAATAACAATTACCATCATCTCCAATATAAGAACGAGAATGCCAATAACAATAATTATTAAAATACGGAATTAATTGTTGTTGTTGATGTTGGTCATTTAAAATATTATTTAAATTATTTTCATTATCAGAAAAAATAAATAATTGCTGTTGTTGTTGATTTTCTTGGAATAACGGAGTAAATTGGCTATTTAATGCTTAAATTAAATTTTTTATTTAAAACGTTTAGAGTAGAGTATCAA